TGGAGCGGGCAACCCACTAAAAATCTGTTCCCTCCCTTCCCCGCTGTGGGGCGGCCGGGTTTCGGGCCAAACTGGGGAAAGTAGCCCCCCCCCCCATCGCCCCTCCTCCATTTGATTTCATGCACTTAAAGTCGGGACGTAGTGGATCGAAATTCGACCCGTTAAATTGAGATGTGGACGACCGTTTATTTCGGTTTCTTGTGCCGTGTGGCGAGGCCGCGAATTTAAACCAACGAACGGTGACAGTCATTTTAAGTCTTATGTTTTTTTTGTTATCTACTATACACGATGCAACTGTTAATTGTCGGGCACCTGACACGTATCTCAACTGATGTGTTTATTTCTGGTTGCTGCCTTGCTTCCTTCTTCTCCCACCGCATCTTCCTCCTCCTCCTCCTTCTCCAAGACCAGCACCTTGTCCTCAATCAATCCAAAAACCGCGCTTCAACGCCATCCAGATTGCAAACTTCCATCCGAATAGTGCTACCGGACTCTCCAAAGTTCCCTTGGTGTGCGGTTTTCTTTTCGTGGGTCACATGTGTGTTTAATTGGCAGCATGCAGCCGTCCGTTAGTGTGAACAGTTCTTCTACTCTACCGCCAAGCACTGGAAGTGTGTTTTAACCCTCAATACTTCTCATTTTCCTTACACACCTAGTATGTTGCGTGTTAATTTTGATCCACGCCAAGAATATCTGTGTGACTCTGCTTTTTCCGGACTCTAGCAAGCTCCCAAGATTCCCACAATGACTCTGATTTTCTATGATTTAACATGTTAATAATCTAAAATCCATATATGACTGAGAAAAGCCCTCAGGGAAACAATATACTACCTGTTAGTTAGTTAGTTAGTTAGTTAGTTAGTTAGTTAGTTAGTTAGTTAGTTAGTTAATTGTTTATTGAACATAAAATACAACAACAATTGACAAAAGGCAAGCAAAATTACAAAAGGAAAAATAAAAATAAAAAGTAAATAAAACAAACATCATCACCGTTATATGTTCAAAGGAGTAGGAAGAAGTATACAACTTATCTAGTCCTACCCCTTGTTGTGTAATAATATAAATAGATCATTTTTCAATGCAAAAGAAAAGGAAGAGATCTACCTCTCATCAAGTACTTTTACCCTTATGTGTACTGTACTTATCTATCCTGTCCAAAATAATGGAAACATTTTTTGAAACAATTTAATTTTTTTGGGTCACTTCTAGAAAAGTCATGTAATATCGGGAAGAAAGAAAGAGTGCCATTAAGGTTGTTTTTACAACAATGCAGGTTTCAGTACTGCGTTTGTGGCTTGACTTACTGTACATTTATTGTACACTGGCCTTTTAAATGAACATTAACTTGTTTTTTTTTTTTTTTTTTTACAGTTTTCTGTAAATATGGCAAATAAATTGAGTCGAGCAAAGTGGATTCTATAGAAGGATGTACTTGGTGTCCAATGTGCCAGCAGGCCTCGCCGATGTGAAGGAGCGAACTCTCATTGCTGTCAAACCCGACGGCGTCCAGCGTCGTCTCGTGGGGCAGATCATCCGACGTTTTGAGCAGAGGGGCTTCAAGCTGGTGGGCCTGAAAATGCTGCAGGTACGTGCGTTTCACGGCGTTCGTGCCGTTGACAGCCAAGTACAGGATTGATTGACAGTTTGCGTTCTCGTTGTGTGGAGAAGGTGTCCGAGGGGCTCCTTGCTCAACACTACTGTCAACTGACGCAGAAGCCCTTCTATTCCAGTCTGGTGGAGTACATGACCTCTGGGCCCGTGGTTGTCATGGTGAGAGCTCGGTGACATTTCGTTTTTGAAATGATGAATAGGGATGTTCCTGTCAGAATGCGGTGGACTGTTTTGACGCCGATCCAAAATTCGCATTATTCGACCTCGGCGGAGGTCTGAGCTTGACTGTGTGACCTTCAAATTTTCTACGACTGTTAACATCCATGTACTTAGTTGACTTTCTTCATACATGGAGACAGTTTAAATGTCAAATTATGAATTCTCTCCGAGAGCAAGTCCATTTCATTGTCGCAATTCCCTGGACAGGTGTGGGAAGGGCACAACGTGGTCCAGTCATCGCGCGTGATGGTGGGAGCCACCAACCCTGCTGCGGCCCCAGCAGGCACCGTCAGAGGAGATTTCAGCCTTCATGTCAGCAGGTAATAGATTCACAATCCTATCCGGTTGTGTCTTCTCATCGGAGGAGGACTGAATCACGTTTTATGTCGCGAAGGAACGTGGTCCATGCCAGCGACTCCCTGGAAGGAGCGCAAAGGGAGATTCAGCTCTGGTTCCAGGGAAAGGAGCTCGTCGAGTGGGACTGCTGGGACCAGACGTTGACCTGCGAGAAGTAAAGATGCTATCACTTCTCTCGCTGTTGGCGCCCGCTGCTTGAAAGGTCTAAATTCACCTCAGGAAATGTGTTTATGCAGAACATAAAAAAAAAAAAAAGGAGAGATTTTTTTTTTCTCCAGTTAACATCGGCTCGTTTTCGTGTTATTGCTGGAGCGGGTTTGTTGGATATACTCCATAATCTCCATAATCAGGTGATATATCAAAATTATTTTGCCAGTAGTATATCAAATATTACCTCCTTAATTCAGAAATGAAAAGCTCAGGGTCCATATCTGGACTGACGGATTTCCAGCCTTCAATTTGATGCTCACCATGGCAAAGAAATTCGTGAAGTCATTTCTGCCTTTGACTGGTTTTCAATTGCACTTCAGTTAAATTGGCCTACTTGAAATCAATTTGGGGTTTGGGAGCTCAGCATATGCAAGCGGAGGGCAGAGAACTTTCTCAATTGCAAGTGGTGAACTAAAATGACATTTCGTTTTGCATAATGTCAATAATTGCAATTTTACTTGGGAAAAAAAAATCTGGTGCTTCTAAGTTAAAAAAAAATGTTTTGAGTGTGATGCCTGTGTTGGAATAACTTGATTCTCGCAATTGCAATATGAATAAATGACAACAGAATGAGTTTATTGGCAATTCAAAGCTGATGCAAATAGGCGGGTTGCCGTAAAAAGTCAACAGTCATCTGCTGGTTTGCCTTCACAAATTCAGAATGCACAGTTTATGGCTCAAACTATCTCAGTCTATTCTCGTCACACTTTCCCTTTTCTTTTCTTGCTTTTGCTTGCACGTTGGAGGGAGGAACGGAAATACTTCAAAACATAAAGCACAGGTATGCTGTCGATCCGCAGTATAGCCACACAAATAAATGATTCACATTTAGGAGTTGTCGAAACGTAGGGATAACGTGGCCGACTGTCCGCTGGCTCATTCGGTCATTCCGATCTTCAGCTTTTGCCTCTCCATCGCCATCTCCAGTTCGGAGACCTTTTGGGCATCCTGAGAGAGGGCGGGAGGCGCACGGAAGACAGCCACCGGTTACGGATCTTCATAACTTGTCGCCATTTCAAATTGGAACGGGTGTCACTGTAAGTAGGTCAGTTACAATTTGGCCAAAATGCATGGGTCAAGGTCGGGCAAACAAACGGGCTTTGTCAACATACAGGGTACTGCACCAGTACGCACACACACGACTGCTCATGCAAAAACAGACACGTTTGCCCGCACGTTTCCCTAGAGGTTCATGACAAGACCTTAACCCCACTTGCTTAACCTTACGTTTAGGAGGCGACGGGGACATTTGCAGATTTGTGTCTCCACAGTGGCCTACAATTTCGGGGCGATACATCGCCACACAAGACATGAAATACAAGTTTGACAGAGTTCCACACTGTGCACTATGTTGTCCAGAACAGTGGACCTTAATTGTAGTCAGTTATTGTGTGTTTGATGGCTTAACAGAGTACTGTCTGTACTTTGTTAACCTAGTTTGAAATTGATTTTTGTTGGGGGGTTTTGGCCACAAAGGAAAGGACACCCCAACAACGGTTACAAGATACTGCAGATAGACAAAAGCCATAAAATTAATGAACCCAGATGAACACACGCACACACCAGATTGTTCACGGTAGCAAATTCACCCACCTCAAGAATGACCTTCTGCATCATAATGTGACTGTACACTCTTGCGCCTTCATCGTAAGACACTTCACACAGTTCCTTCTTGTTGAGGGAGAAGAGCTGGGCTCCGGTTAAAACGCCAAGACTCTGGACGGTCCTAACAGAGGAGGAAGGAGAAGCAAACTCGAAATTGCTTTTCCGTTCACTTTATTACCATTCCTTTCTTCTCGGGGAGTTTATGTTCAACTCAGCTCCGACTGAGTGTTTGTTGAGACTACATCCCGACACTAGGGGGCAGAGTAGTGCTCTCGAACCCCCTTGCCAGTGAAAGAAGAATTTACCGCGAACATTTTGTTTTTCACTCTTTGTGAAGAGGTCGAATACAATTTAAAAGAGTGAGTACCGCTGACTGAAGCCCTTTGCTACGAGCCAGGACTCCACCTCGGACGCCGGAGACTGGTAGTTCAATGTAAACGGTGGTTCCACGGAGCGCGAAGTCATGAGAGGAGGACGGCTGCCGGAGATTCTCTTCTGCGCCATTCGTTGGAGAAGCTCGTCGTTCATTATGAGTACTGCGCAAACACATGGGGCCATTAGCAAAAAAAAAAAAACAAAACAGCTCGCATGGGGGAATTCAACTTGTCCTCCAATGTGTGCATTGTACCGTATATATTCTATTGTGTTGTACATCACACGTAGAAGAAAATTCACACACGCAGGCATGCTAAGAATGACGTCAGAGTGATACGACGTATACGCGAGGATACCTTGACAGTCACCAGGAAGCAGACCGCTATGTCTTCTGTAACTCGCCATTTTTGTCATTTTTTACTTTTTGTCCAGCTTCAAAGTCACGTAAAAAACAAACGACACTACAGTATTGTCAAAACCTTAACTAATGACCTAATTACATAGATGTTAAAGAATTTGTGGGGTTTTTTTTTTTCCTCCTGCGTTTTTTTTGATAACTTCAATTCAATGGACATTGCGTTGCTTCTTGTGCTGTGTGCTCCTTGGCCACACGGGGGCAGTATACTGCAGACATATGGCTTGACATGGCATGGTCTCCCCTCAGGAAGCCTCAGTAATATCGGTCAGTCTTTGCAGAAGATCAAGTATATGTCCTCGTGAGTACTGTTCTACTATCTCGCCATGTGTGTTCAAATATATTTTGCCACATCAATGATATTTGTTTGCCTGAAAGTTTTACCTCGATCTCCATTGTCACCGTGTGTCGCTGCGGATGGCAACACCATGCTCTGAGGCCTCGCCGTGGGGCTCGTCGCAGTCCGATAAGTGCCAGGCGGGCTCAGCGGAGCGTACAAAGTGGGTGACATCTGGACAGCGCCAACGAAGAATCAGGTAAGTTGCAAGGAACGTCGGCAGAATTGAAAGCGGACGTTAAACTTGGCACACACACACACACACACACACACACACACACACACACACACACACACACCGGTGGTTTTTCCCCACTGTTGTTGTTTAGAGCCGACAGTGGCTCCAAGATATTATGGGGAACAAATCCGATCTGGTCAAAGCGATTGCGACACTTCCACCATTTCTTGGATGACTGGATGACCTGAAATGGGTAAAATGCTGATTTGAAAAATGAGATACTGTCAATCAGCTTTTAAGAATCCTTCCAATGTTAAGGTACAGATATACACATCAAATCCTGTGGTCGTGTGTGTGTGTGTGCGTGTACCTCAAGTGTTTCTCCTTGCAGCACCGAGAGCTCACTGCTGTTTCTTGCAACAAAGTCATAGGTGCAGCAGTAATGTCTCTCCCCAGGTGGTGGAAGTCCATTTCCCTCCCTGGAATGATATTTACAGTGACGTCTCTCGTTTCGATGGTTTTCTTGTTTAGTAGGTGGTTTTGGATTTCTTGTTGTTCTTGGATTATTTGAGTTTCGTGTAATTGAACTTTTGCCATTTTGTGTTGTGTATTTTCGGCTCTCGAAAATTCCTTTGCAAGCGTTTTTTTTTTTTTTGGTTCTTATTGGCTTTTCCTGGTTTTGTGTCGTCAGCGCTTTCTGTTTATAATTTGTCAGTCCTTCGTTTTTCTGTCAGTAAATATTTCTTTGTACTGACGTTTGTGGGATCCGCCCCGTATTTGGCCATTGGGCTGTACGTTGCCAACCCCTGATCTGCACTCACACTTCATCTGTCTCGTCAACGGGGCCCTCCACCGCGGGTGCACTCTGCTCGTTCGCATCTTGTTTGTGCTGCGACTCAACAGGATCTTCCAGAGGCAAGCCAGAGGAGTCGAACGCCTGCGGCTGCCATCCGTCCAGGAAGACGGGCGAGTACGGATGGACAGACACACCGAGCTGGGAACTGAAGGAAATCCTGATTAGGATTTGTTTGAGGGGTCGAACACAATTGCAAACAGGAAAAAAACCCACACACACCAGGGGCAAGTCCAGTTGGGACCTAACTCAGTCCAAAGCTGTTTTTCCTCCTCGGTCAGATGCTCCCGAAGCAGCGAAACAGCACCGGTGGTCAGTGCGGGACTGACCACTGAGCCCCCCAATTGTGGGCCGCATGTGGTTTTCACCATCTGTGACCGAGGCACAAGTCAGTCAGCAAGAGACAGCGTGTGAAAGAGCCTCTCACCCAGAATGTGAAGGTGGGCACACCAGTTGGAGAGGAAAAAAGATGTGATGCAGCAACTGGGGCGCACTCGGTTCCATTATGGCTGACTTGACCCGATCCTTGAAGTAACCAGCAAATAGTCGCAGGAGTGACATTTCAAGAGGAAGCAAAAACGGAGCGATCGGAGTTGTCTCATCTCACCAGCAGACTGAAGGAGTACTTGATTTTCTGAAAAATGTCCACAAAGTCTTCCTCTGATGGAGGAACCGCTTTCATGGTGATCAAGTCATCTGCAGAATAACAAATGTGAACAACTTTATGCCAATATACACGGAACTGATGCACTGATTCATTTTTTTTGGTAGACTATAGATCGACATAAAATTATCTCGATGCAAATGATTTTATTTTGTGCAACCACCTGAGGAAATAAAATTGAGTAGATTCAACGCACCATTTTTTTCAGTGTATACACACACATGCACAAATACACATTATATATAAACCGATATAATTAATGAGACCCAACTCAAATAATGTATAATACACGCTGGGGAAAAAAATGAAGTGCTGAATTCACTCAATTTTAGTTCGTTAAGCGCTTGCACGAAATAAATTCATCTGAATCCAGATACATTTTTTGGAATGAAATAAGATTGGATTCAACCTTTTTCTGAGTGTGCCATACAAAACGTTTCTTTTTTTTTTTTGTAAGTACACTGAAAAAAATGGTTGTTGCACACAAGAGAATCATTTTTATGTGGAAGTACAATCATGAGATACATTTTAATTTGATGTATAGTCTACTTCAAAAATGTATCTGGATTGGGATGATTTTATTTCTTGACAAAATTAAATTGAGTAAACTCAACACACCATTTTTTCAGTGTAGCATATGACTATTTCTAATCACCACTTTTCTTTTGCCCTTCTAATTTCTGTATTCTGCAGCCTTCCGGAGGACTGCATTGTGTTTGAAAGCTACAACAGCAGCGGTCGTTCAGCAGCAGGTAAATTTGTGCTCACTACCATCTTGGCTCGGCTTCTTGCTCTTCCCGCTTCTTTTCTTCCTCTGACTGAGAATGCTCTGGGCCTCGGCCGCCTGCTGCAAACGCACCATGAAGCGCTCGATGTCATCGAAACAGTGGTTCAGAATCTCCTGGTGAGGGTGCAGGAGCACAGTCAGATTGGCTCGCGTGTGTGGTCTCACGTTTGTCACTCTGTTCCGACTCATCTCGTGACCGTTATTTTTTCTTTGACTTCTGTTCAAAAGTTGCCTTCAAAATAATACCCAAATGCAGGGGAAATTATGGAATGGGTCGGGGCAATTAGTGCAGCTCAGGTTCTGGCTAGCAGACGTGATGCTCGCATGATGCTTTTCGG